GGTATCTAGTTGTCCAGTATTTAGTACTTTATTAAACTTAGCAGGAATTTAACGGTGTGATAACATACATTAATTTTCATTTTTATAACCATAAAATATCGCCGGTGTCAAAGAGAACGTCAGATGTCCGTCAGTTTTATAGTATTCAATGTTACACCTAAGGACTAACTTAGAAACTGTATCAACATTGAATAGTTATTTTATAAAAAAATGTGTGTTGATAAAAAACTACAATATTTATACGATAACATTTATATATGTCCAATAAAAGGATCACTTGCATTACATACCAATAGAATGTCTTGAATTATGTTTATTCCACAGAAAATAACTTCAGACCCGTAATTGTTAAACATTACTTGCCATCATTTTGCAAAATTTCGGTTCGAATGACGGGTGCACTTCTGTTATCCCTCTAATAACTCTCGGTAGAAATTTGCATGCGACGAGTATCAACGTTGTCAGTTCAGTAACAGTGCAGATACGAAGAACAACGCCGACTGCCCGATATTGACGTACTCTCATATGCGCTATTACTGTATAATTTTCCGAGGGGCTAAGACCATAATTGTTCAATTTACTGTTTTTATATTCCACCGTACCTTTTAATCAACAGATTTATATCGAAACGGTTGATCCCGTTAGAACTGTTGAAAGCGTTTCAGTACAAAGTTAAAAGCGTCACGTTGGCATACATAATTTACCCCCCTATTCGTGTACCCATCTTAAAGGTGTGTTAAAGACTTTCAACGGTAAAAATTGCTTCAATGTTGGTTTCTAATTATTTGTCAAACATCTGCTGTTTAATCTCTTAGATACAAAGGAAACCATTACCGAGCTACTAATTTGCCTCTAATACAATGTTCGAGGCACGATTGAAAATCCATATAAAAAATATAGTACTTAGACAGCGGTATATGAGTGTTCGATACACCGTTTCCGCGATAGTTGCATTTACAATTCAGACGTTCATTTCGTGGATGTGGAATCATGGATACAATTGAGTCGGAACGTCGTCACTTTAAAATAATAACATCCTATTTAAGCACCGTCGGTATTTGGCCTTACCAAAAGAAATATACCCAGTATTTTTTGCGGACTATCGTTTATATTGTTATGGTATCATGTATTTCGGCACAGGTACGATGTATTAATTTTCATTTACATGTGCGAATATTTGTACACCTTCGTTATAATTTGTGAGTTGTTTATCGAGCTATTGTAATCCCTATAAATTATGAATCCATATCGTAAAAAGAACCGTAGTCGATAATTATTACAAATATTTGACATCTTTACAGATATCATACGTGGTATGCTTCTTCACCATAGAGACTCTGACAAACATGCTTTTTATGATCTGCACCTGCTCGATAGCACTGGTGAAGCATTACATATGCGCCGCAAAAGGCTCAAAAGTGATAAACTACATACTTTATTCTCCACCATCCGGCATTTACACGAGCTGACATATTTCGATACAGTTTAAGGTACTTTTGGACGGCATGGTCGAGGACTTGAAATCGGATAGGACGAAAGAAGAACTAGCTATTATGACGCCGTACATGAACAGGGCAATCTTCATGGCAACAGCTTATTCGTGTAAGAAAATGTGAAGTGTGTCATTATATTAAAGATTAGCCTTGCTATGAGGGATTCGTATACTCGCACACTGTGTATGTATAAAAATGTTTCTCTCATGCAAAACTTTCGTTACATACTAACTGCAGTTTGATCAGTTTTCTCAATTTTCACGACTCTCCATGCATGCACGATTCACTATGTGTTTAACGGCAACATTGTTTGTAGATGGTACAATGTCTGTCGCCGCCATATTTGTCCAAATGCCACTTTTGCCGCTCATTGCCGACATTATTGTGCCGTTAAATACGTCGCGACCTCGAGCGAACCCAATGGAACTACACTATTTCTTCGTTGACACGGACGAGCACTCTTTGTGGACAATGTTACATGCCAATATTTCCGTTTTAGTAACAGCGATCACATCTGTAGGCTGCGACACATTTTATATATACACAGTGCTGCACGCTTGCGGATTATTTGAGGTGGCTGGGTAAGCTTATCGCAGTCGCAGATCGCTATAATTGCTTAATTGTAGTGTGAGACAGATATCCAAGTATAGAGAAATTTAGCTATTTGGGGTTAGAGTATACCGACGTTTGAGGAATTAGAAATCTGAGGTTTGGGAATTCGTGAACCTGAAGGTTTTACTTTACAATATGGCAGCGGGGGTGTGTAAACTTCCGGAAAATGAACGTTCGGGAATTTAGTGCGTTTAGGAACTCAGCGTTTATGAATTTGGAGATTTACTAGTTAGGGATTTTGAGTGCTTGGGAAGTCAGAAATGTGACGGTCAGGAAATTTGAAATACTGAAATTTGGCAATCTGAGAACTTTTGAACCTTGTACGAAATTTACACAGTCGTAAAAAATTGTAATTTCATTCAACCTCGTCACATGAATTTTTATAATATTTTTTTCACTGCATAGCACTTATACAGAGACTATTCATAGGCTACATTCCTGCAATTTTCTAGCTATTAATATGAAATACTGCCAATTACGATGATCATAAATGCTCGTAGATATCGATTCAAATGTGCGATCGCTAATTCTGGTGTGCGAGGAACTACGATGTCAAAGGAGATGTACAAGAAGGTTTGTCATTCCATTAAAGCTCATGAGCGTGCAATAAGGTTAATATATTTGATCATTTTATATCGATTTGCAATTACAAAGTTATTAGTCAAACCAAATTCTATACGTTCGAATAGCAATTTGATAAAACTTCAAAAACATTCGAAATTTTAATTCCTTACTCCGAACTCAGTATATTTCATACGTGTCTACCTTGTTTCGAAATTAATTTTATATTCTCCAGGTATGTAAGAGAAATTGACGACTGTTTTTGTGGAATTTTGTTTATCGCTATCTTTATAACAGTCACAGCTCTCAGCAGCTCATTATATTGGGTAAGTCCGGGAAACTATTCCATGTTCGATAAGAATTATTTTCATGAATATATCTTTTTGCGAGCAGGTGTCAAGATTGAAACCTTCCGAAGAGTTCTACATGCATCTAATTTCTCTGCTTACCGAACTATGGCATATACTTTTCCTGACATTTATGGGACACTTTGTGATTAACAAAACTGATACAATGTATAATGAAATGTAAGTGACAATACAACTATATAATGTTTAACAGTTTATAATAGCACATGAAATAAATTGTAACATTTAGGGCAAGCTTCGAATTATTTACAGACAGAAAATATTTTAGATAAAACTACACAGTAGACTGCCTTAATATTGTCCAGATTTGTGTGGTCGATCGAGCAAACTCTTCGATACGAATTTTTTTTCTTTACATTCAAGTCCTGTCATAAATTCTCCGTTAAGCACAATGAGAGTAAAACTACCATACGGTGTATGTTCACCTGCTGTAACGCCAGGAGTTACGCCACGTTTTAAGTAGCAATGTATTATATCGTGAGGCTCTCGAATAGCCAGATCTAACCGCCCGATTATTGTATCAATGTAATCGACAAATAATTCCAAGAGTTTCTCATTCATGCACGAATTAAAAAACTGTCATTTACAGATACGAAGGAAAGTGGTACAATAGCGAGCCCAGAACTCAAGCATTATTTATACTGGCATTAAGGGCAGCCAGGGATTCTCCACAAATCACAGCCGGGGGTGTTGTTGCAATGAACTTGCAGACTTTCGCACAGGTAGTTATTTTTTGCAGTGGCGAACTAATTAGAATATAATTTGGATACATGTTTACAGACAGTAAAAATATCGTTCTCGTACTTTACGGTGCTGCAATCAGCATAATGATCTAACGAAGATGATGAAATTGTTAGATGATGAGGAGATTGTTAGTAAAGATGCGACTGTTAACGGAGCTTTATACTGTCGTAAGAGTGCACGATAAATAATTGGTTGGAACATGTGTCTAGAAACAGGAACAGCTAAGAATATGTCATAATCATGTAGTTGATAAGTTAGCGCAATCCTCGAAGATATTAGACCGAATGCTCTGATTCAAATTGTTTCACTCATAATAGTATTACTGCCGGTTGATGTATTACAATATACTGTATCACATATTTAATTATACGTAGCATTTAAATTGTGTGAAATAATCTTTCAATATCGGATTTTTGACTCTCTAAAGACCCTCTAGAAATCAGTTAATCCTAAGTTTCTGCATGAACACTAGAAAGTACGAATATCGTAGACAATACGTTAAATAGCTTATTAATCTTCTGCATCAACGCTAGAAAGTATGAATGTCGTAGACAATACGTTAAATAGTTTATTAATTACCATATTATCCTCGATCATACATTGAAAATCCACCACCGACTTATTCCGTTCATTCAAATCTGCTACTTCGTTTGACACGCAGCTAGCACACCGTAGATGTCACAAACAGCAGTGCATAAGAATAAAATCAGCAGTTCGAACCGAAGAACGATATAAGGTGAGTGATGTTGATACACTCGCGTGCGGGATACAACTGCGGCAGTTTAGTATGTCCAAGAAGAAAATTACATGCTCTACCATTCTTCTGCTTTGTTACATTATACGATCGAAGTACTCAAATTTAATGGAAACATTTCTCCCTATGAAAACAGCCGAAACCTTTCTATTCAAAAATTGCAAGCAATGTACGCAGTTATACGACGTTTATCGTGAACGGTAATAGCGAAAGAGGTAAACGGGGTATCGATATTAATGATCAATTTTGCGTCACTTAATGTAGTCAGAAGAAGGACCGTTAGCGACCCGGTAATTTTTCTGTAACGCGAGCTTGGTGCCGAACAGATGGTTCGCATGAAAAATGCATCACTTGGAAGGGTTATAGAATCGTTCCAAGCGTGGATTCAACTGCAGTCCTCTTCCTGACAAGAACGTATACATGAAAGCCTCTTGTTGAAAAGCCTCTTCAGATTATTGCTGTCTCATTATGGATGCAGGTACAATAGAAGAACGTTACATGAAGATTACCAAAAAATTCTTGTTACTCAGTGGAATTTGGCCTGGCCAGAATCAATACGTCCAAGCCATATGTCGATTTATTATATCTGTTGTTACTGTAATATCAATTATGTCACAGGTACACGCATGGTATAGTATCGATTCTTTTTTGGATGCATGTGTTGGTGTTCATATCGTAGGTACTCTAAGTGTATCTGACAGTGGTTATTCTAATCGTGACAGTGAAAGTGTTATGCAAGGTGTTTCCGATCTTTTACGACTGAAAAGAGGGTGAATCTACTCGAAAGATAACTTTCACATTTTCCATCGTGTCGCGAATAGTTTACAAATAATTAAAAACCGTCGAAATTCAGTTCTCTCCAAAACGAAGCTGCGAATGAACAAATTTTGTTACAAATTTTTGCCTCATTTTTTCGTGCAGATTCATCGTTTTTACAATTGTACCGATTGGAAACATTCTGTATTTTAGATAGAATTATATCGTAACTGCTACGAATACTATCGATTACAGATAGAGAGAGTAGTATCCTATTTCAGCCTCGATGTGGTAGTAGAACAGCTTCCATTTTTACTTGCGTCTTGCTTGGTACTAGTGAAACAGGGCACTTATATCGTAAACGACTCAAAAGTGAGTAGATATGAATCCTCGCCTGTTCAATTCCACAAAATGAACTATTTGGCCGTAGCTTAAAACGTTGTTGACTGGGATGTCTAACGACTGGAATATGGACAGACCGAAAGAGGAACTTGCTATTATGACGTCATACATGGACAGGGGTGCCCTTTTCGCTAGAATTTATTCGGGTACGTTGATATAATGAGTATACCTGTATTCCAGAGTCCCCATACTACCGAATTTCTACATCCCCGAATCCCTACACTCCCGAATTTTTACATGTTCGAATTTCTACACCCCCGAATTCTTACACCCCCAAATTTCTACACTCTCGAATTTCTACTTCCCCGACTCCCTACACTCCCGAATCCCCACGCTCCCAAATTCCTACACTCCCGAATCCCTACGCCCCCGAATCCCTACGCCCCCGAATCCCTACAACCCCGAATTCCTACACCCCTAAATTTCTACGCTCTCGAATTTCTACATCCCCGAATCCCTACACCCCCAAATTTCTACGCTCTCGAATTTCTACTTCCCCGAGTCCCTACACTCCCGAATCCCTACGCTCCCAAATTCCTACACTCCCGAATCCCTACGCCCCCGAATCTCTACACCCCCGAATTTCTACATCCCCGAATCCCTACACCCCCGAGTTCCTACCACCCCAAATTTCTACATTCTCGAATTTCTACTTCCCTGAGTCCCTACACTCCCGAATCCGCACGCTCCCAAATCCCTACACCCCCGAATCCCAACACCCCCAAATCCCAACACTCCCGAATCCCTACGCCCCCGAATTTCTGCTTCCACGAATCCCTACATTTCTAAATCTTTCCATTCCCAAATTCCCCTATCCCAAATTTCTCACATCCCTATATCACTATATCCCCAAATCGCCATATTCCCAAATTCACACATCTCCAACTCGATACATCCCCAAAGTCGTACATCCCCAAATCACCACGTCCAGCAGCTACTCCAATTGGTCAGAATAAAAAAATGCCGCACACGTACTCTCGTGAATCCCGGCGCCAATTCGTGGGTTGATAGTACTTTGTTTTATCTCGTAACATATTGTTAATTACACTGTGATGCACTACAAAGTAATTTATTCGATAAGAGATTTGTATTTTGACAATTTTGTTTCTAGCGAATGCATACGGCACCACAGTTCTGTTCATTCAAATACCATGGTGGCCACGCGTCGCCGATATAATATTGCCATTAAATACCTCTCGACCTCGAGCGTATATTATTCCAGCTTCTTTCCCCATCGACGAGGACAAGTACTATTATTGGATAATATTGCAAATGACTTTAGGAGTTTTAGTTTTGACGTGTGTGTACGTTGCCTGCGATACTTGCTTCATATACTCCGTGCAGCATGCTTGCGGACTATTTGCGACATCTGGGTAAGCATATGAGGAATACTTTCGAGAACTATTTAACCTGTAATCGACTAGACTTTTTAAAAATTTGTACATTTTAAATGCGTGAAATTATAATAGATGTTGCAAATGTTTGTATGTAGATATCGTTTTAAGGAAGCGATCAGAGACGTTCCTGCAGGAAGCAACGTTTCAAACTTGTCGAACGAGACGCACAGGAAAGTGTGCCGCTCGGTTGAGGCTCACAATCGCGCAATAATGTCGGTATACAATATGTATTTATTTTCGTTACTTTGCTGAGAAAGTGGATTAGTATCTATATAGATTATCTCTAGGTTATTTTAATTTAGAAACTGTAGATGACTTCGATTACCTTCGATTTTACGCATTGTGCGTATTTATAATTGTATCCAAAATGATGTCTCCAGATTCTAGAATCTAGCACAGAATCTAGTAGTCACACTCAACTGATATCGATACTATTTTATTGAAAAATAAAAATCGCGTGTTTGAAAACACCGACCGGAAACGAGAATAATTTCATTGCTTTTATAGAAAATAATTTATACCCGAATGCTCTTGAAGTACCAATGCGATATATTGTACTTTCTATATTTTATTTATGAACTGCGTGATTTGTTTGCAAATTCTGTTTAAAATTCCTAGATTTTTGAAAGAAGTCGAAGATATTCACTTTGGTTATCTTTTGATCTGTTTGGGTATTATAACCGGAGCTTTCAGTGGTACACTGGCTTTGGTGAGTTTATTAAATTCAATATTGTACGATTATAATAACTGTCTTTAGATGCCACTTTCTCAGCTATCGAGGTTGAGCATTTGCATGCAGTTCTATCAGTGCGCTGGATTCTTGGTTGTGCAATTGATTCATCTATTTTTCTTGACGATTCAAGGACAGTTTGTGATCGACTCGAACTGGAAGGCCTATAACGAAATGTGGGTATAAATGAATGCGAGCAAAATAGAAATATTAAATATAATTATCGATATAGTAAGATATTTTGTACCATTCAGAACTGTGCCATTTACAGATACGACGGGTTATGGTACCACGCAGAACCTAAAATGCAAATACCGTATATGCTCGCGTTAAGGGCAACCATAAGTGCTCCCCAAATAACAGCTGGTCGTCGTATTCCAATGAATCTGGAAACATTTGCAACCGTAATACATTATTTAAAAACCATATACATAATTTCAATTTTTTTATTTCAAACCAAATACACAATTTTTAACGCGTTTTATTTATATCAATATATTTGATGGAAATCTTTATAGACAAATAGGACTAAAATTAAGATTTAAGTTTAATTTTTGGAGTTTATTTCAGATTGGTCCAAAAATAATTTCAACATTTTTTGTAGATTATAAAAGCGTCGGTTTCGTATTTTACCATGTTGAAGGCCACGTAACATCCTGATGAAGAGAATAGTGTTTCATGTCTAGGTGCACGAGAAGTGGATAATTGGTATACGACATTCATTCAAATTTTCATATCGATTATGAATTGGAGTTGTTGAATAGAATTGTTGTACTTCGTAGGATGCATCTGATACAAATAAAAGTTGTAGGACATTTACGTTGCGTTCAATTACTAAAAACTTAACTTGTGAAAAGTTAACACGACTTCTTAGTAGCTGATTAATAAGAGCTGGGCTAGTAGCTCAGAGAAAAATTTGTTGCCGGTACACTAAAGTCATAATCCGTCATTTAATTTAATGTAACTCATCACTCACCGCTAATGATTTATCAGTGTTCTAGTGGTACATCAATTCATTTAAACCATTCCCATAATTTTTGTATATCTTCACTGACCGCCGACATTGACTCTCTGAAGCAGCTTCGTTGTAGGAGTTCCATCTACCCACCATGTCCATTCTTTGCAGCATTCGTAATATTGGCGCAGCAGAGCCTACAAAGAGATTTATATTGTACATCAACATTGGCAGGACCGATGTAATAAATCGAAGCATGAAACTGAGACAATAAATCCTGAATATCGTTAATAATACACACACTAGTATACGCACAATGGCTTCACACCTTGTCATATATCGAGACCACCGTAGACTCATCCCGTTTCAAATAATAACTTCCACAAATCTGCTACTTCGTTCATCACTACATTGACACATCTTTAAAGCTAGCGTTCCACGTTTATCGCCAACAGCAGTGCAGACGAATGAAACTAACAGTGCGGACACGAAGAATGAACATTCGCTAACTGTAAGCGACGTTGACGCATTCGTGTACGAGTCTCTACTGCGGCAGTTTTGCGTGTTCGGGAAGAAAATTGCACGCTTTACTATTCGCATACTTTGCGACATCGTACGATGGAACTACTTACATTTAATCGAAACGATTCACTGTATCAAAACAATGAAAACCATTTTTGTTCCAATTTGGAAGAACATAAAGGCGGTGCTTAGTTACATAGTGTTTCTTGAGTATCGTAATAGCGAAAGTAGCAAGATAAAATGTGTATCAATATTAAGGATCAATTTTGCGTCAATTATTTCCATATGTTCCTATACCGAGGCTGTCTACCAGGCAGTAATTTACTCATAATACATGATTAGCGCTGCATTAATGCATCCTATCAAAAATGCACCGCATAGACTTATTATGGAATCGATCAAAGTTCGGGCTCTGCGACAGCCCTCTTTGCGACAAGAACGTATATATCAGATCGAGAAGTCTAGTCTGTTGCTGTCTCATCATGGATGCAGTTACGATTGAAGAACATTATTTGAAAATTACCAAAAAATACTTGCTAATCACTGGAATTTGGCCGGACCAAAATAAATCTGTCCAGTACGTTTGTCGATTTTCCACGTACATTGCTTGTGGTGTATCAATTATAACACAGGTACCTGCATGCTATAGTATCGATTTTAATATGTCTGGATGTTCATACATATGTATAAAATGTATCTAACTATTACAATAGTGACAGTGTTGTTATATAGAAGGTGTTGCCCAAATTCTATAATTATTTTAGCGATATGAAAATTTGAAATTGCAGATGATGAGGGTGGTACGCTATTTCAGCCTCGACGTTCTAGTAGAACAACTTCCATTTTTGTTTGCCGCGATCTTGATACTCGTGAAACATACCACTTACGTCGTAAACGATGCAAAGGTGAATGAACAGAAATATAAGCCCTGTGAGTTTATTTACACAAAATGAACTAATTGCAGCTGAAGAAGCTGCTAACTGGGATGTCTGACGATTGGAAAATCAATAGATCCAAAGAGGAAGTTGCTATTATGGCGTCGTACATGGATAGGGGTGCTTTTATCGCGACAATTTATATAGGTAAGACTGTATAATTAGGAACTCCATTGTTGTGTAAAAGTAAATCAAATTTAATAACGATTTACTTAACGTAGGATTTGAGTCCTTAACTCTCTCCCTGCTTATGTTACATCTGGTTATATGTTTATTACGTATGTTCTTTCAACTTCTAGTGTAAATTGTACATCATTATAAATTCCATACAGTTATGAAATAATCAATGCAAGGCAAAAAAATTGTTTTGTAATTGTAATTCTGTTCGCAGCGAATGCATACTGCACCTTATTTCTGTTTATCCAATTACCATGGTGGCCACGTATCGCCGACATACTGAAGCCGCTAAATACTTCTCGACCTCGAACGTACGTTCTTCCAGCAGCTTTTCCCTTCGACGAGGACAAATACTATTACTGGATCATATTACAAATGACAATTGGAATTGTATGTACAGTGTTCGTGTACATTGCATGCGACACGTGTTTCGTCTACATCGTGCAGTATGCTTGCGGATTATTTGCAATATGTGGGTAAGAATATAAGGACGATACTTTGAGCAATAATTTTTGGCGAAGTTAGTAGGACGAACTCTGTCAGATTTCAGTACAAAAAAGATAGCTACAAAGTACGATAATAAGATGATTTGAACTCAGCCAGTGTCAATTTAATACATATTCTTCGAATTAAATTTTGTAGAATTCATCTAAGATAGCCGTGACTAGATATTTCTTTGCAGTTTGCATAGTGCGTAAAATTGTAATAAATATTGCAAATGTGTGTATAGATATCGTTTTAAAGAAGCGATCAGAGATGTGCCTGCAGGGAGCACCATTTCAGACCTGTCTACCGAAACGTACAGGAGAGTGTGTCGCTCTGCCGAGGCTCACAATCGTGCAATAACGTTGGTATATAATATGTTCTAACTACCGTAAAAATCTCGTGTTCAAAAATATCGACTGGAAGTACGAACGATTTCATCGATTTTCTATAAAATCACAATCTATACCTACTGCTCTTTAAGTATAAATATAAGTGTAAATGTATATGTATGAAAGTATACACGCGACATGTTATACTTTCAGCATTTTATTTAAATATCGCACGAATTGTTTGCATACCGTGTTTACGTTCCTCAGATTTCTACAAGAAATCGAAGATATTCACTTCGGATACCTCTTGATCTGTTTGGGTATTATAACCGGAGCCTTCAGTGGTACACTAGCTTTCGTGAGTTCTTTAAATTCGATATAGTCTAATTATTATAACTTTCTGCAAATGCCATTTTCTCAGCTATCGACAATGAAAATTGGCGAGAGGTTTTACCAGTGCATTGGATTCTTGGTCGCTCAATTTATACATCTGTTTTTCTTGACGATTCAAGGACAGTTTGTGACTGCCTCGAAATGGAAGGCCTACGATGAAATGTGTGTACAAAATGAATTCAAAATAAAAATATAAAATATAATTTTAAAACATGTTTTGTACCATTCATTGGGAATTCTGCCATTTACAGATACGACGGGTTATGGTTTAATGCTGCACCTAAAACGCAAATGTTGTACATGCTCGCGTTAAGAGCAACCCTAACATCTCCTGAACTAACAGCTGGACGTCGAATTCCAATGAACCTGGAGACCTTTGCAAGCGTAATATTTTTCTTCTTTAAGTCTTATCTATTTCATTACTTAGCCTCACTTAAACATTTATTTTTAGATTCTAAAAGCATCCGTTTCGTATTTTACGATGCTGAAGAGCACGTAACCTCCAGATAAATTATATTGTGTTTATGTCTAAGTGCACGAGAAAAATCGTATACAAAATTCATTCAATTATTGTCGATCAATTAAAACAAGTACTGGAGTTGAATGGAATTATACTTCATCGGATTTGAAATAAATTTGTAGGACAATTATGTTGTGTTTAATTACCAAAATCTTAATTGGAAAAAATAATTGGTAAGAATTTAGAGTTAATTGGTAACTACTGATTAATATTTAATAAGTATTAGTAACATTTAATAAGATACATAAAGACTAGTCGCTTCTTAATCAGTAAATAATTGAATATATAATAGCAACAAAGTTATACAATGGCGATCGAATGAAAATTTGAAACAACCACCTGTATGTCATAACAGCGGTAAATATTAAAATACATACATATAATATGGCATTATAATGTATGATTAAAATACATGTACTTATATTTGTTAACAAACATCTTACTAAGATAATAACAAATAAGTTGCTCGGAATAGAGTGGCCATTTTGTAGAAAAATCTCTGCTCGTGTGACGAAAAGTCGCAATTTATAAATGAGACATATGTGACAAAGGAATTACCTTACAATGTTTGAAGTCTTTTCAAATAAATCCATTTCACAAAAATTTTGGCAAAAATGTTGAACACGACGAACCATACATTTGCAAGGTTCTAAAGACGAGTATAATACCCTTATCACTAATCACTTTCACACGATAGAAGTTCGGATGCTACAAATGTTCCAGTAAGCTACTTTGACAATTTCGAAGTGAAAGACAAAGTAAAGCTACGAATAGCAATCGTGCGATGTTAATGCGACCAAACACAAGCCGCTACTGCGGCACTTTTGGCCAAGACAAAAATTGTGCACTTGTGTTTTTTGTCCCGCTTTCAATCGACCCACCTGCATTTACACGAAACGATTCGCTCCACTAAAGCCACTGCGTTTCAAGTTAACATTGTATACACTACATTGATGTACTTAATTGAACACTCGTATACATCAAGTATGGCAAGCCGTTCGAGGAGCAAAAAGCATTTTGATGTAACTGCGAAATTATTCGTCAACCGTTTACAACATGTGCGACCCTAAGGGACCACGTAGCTCGCTTGGTCGATACATGATTGAGAGCTTAATGTGGACCGTGCAATATTAATAACAAATCGTTCCGGTGACTACTTCTGCGGTTCTACTCGTTCAGTACCCACCTTAGTTTTTCATCCGAGGTGCGTTATGGATGCAGTCGAGATACAAGAACGTTACTTGAAGATTACGAAGAGATATTTAGTGCTGGGCGGTATTTGGCCTACTCAGAAGAAGTCCGCTCAGTATATTTATCGAGTTATTATTTATATTGTTATGGTACCCACTGTCTTGGCCCAGGTTTGTTTGCAAGTGATATTTCTTTTCTTGTATTTTGTGGAAATTCACCTTTCAGAGATGTGTGATTTAGTAATCGTCAATCACGAGTTGACGCGGGAAGAGGTTGACATATGTGTTTAAAAGAACACATATCGAAAACATGCCATTTCTGAATTCCTACATTACCAAATATTTATATTTCCGATTTCCTACATTTTCAAATCTCTACATTTTTGAATTCCTACACTTCCGAATTTCCACGCTCTCGAATTCCTATACTCCCAAATTTTTACACACCCGAATTTCTACGCTTCCGAGTTTCCACGCTATCGAATTCCTATACTCCCGAATTTTTACACACCCGAATTTCTACGCTTCCGAATTTCCACGCTCTCGAATTCCTATACTCCCGAATTTTTACACTCCCGAATTTCTACGCTTCCGAATTTCCACGCACCCGAATCTCTACACCTCGGAATCCCCACACACCCGAATCCCTACATCCCCGAATTTCCACGCTCCCGAATCCCTACATCCCCGAATTTCTACACTTCCAAATTTCTACGCTTCCGAATTTCTACGCTTCCGAATTTCCACACACCCGAATCCCTACACCTCCGAATTCCCACACTCTCGAATTTCCACGCTCTCGAATCCCTACATCCCCGAATTACTACATTCCCGAATCTCTACGCTCCCGAATTCCTACACCCCCGAATCCCTACACCCCCGAATCCCTGCACACCCGAATCCCTACACCTCCGAATCCCCACACCCCCGAATCCCTACACTCTCGAATTCCTATATTGCTGAATTTTTACACACCCGAATCTCTACGCTCCCGAATCCCTACACCCCCGAATCCCTGCATACCCGAATCCCTATACCTCCGAATCCCCACACCCCCGAATCCCTACACTCTCGAATTCCTATATTGCTGAATTTTTACACACCCGAATCTCTACGCTCCCGAATCCCTACACCCCTGAATCCCTGCACTCCCAAATCCCTACACCTCCAAATCACCTTAATTTTAATAATTAAGGGTCGTCAGTTAACACCTTGCACTATGATTTGTTAGGTGCGTCACAATTAACTAAACACAGCTATAATTTTAAAATAGAGAAGGTTGAAATGTTTTGGCAATTTGATAGCAATTGACTACGCATCGTTCACTATGCATATTGAAGTCTATTCAAAATTCAGTATATGTAAAGTTGATCATAGTTAAAGAATGTGTCACGAGTGACTAGTCAAAATAGGATTTCTTATTTAGGCTCACTAATTAGAACACTCGTAAGGTAGCTACGGTCGAACTTTTCAAACAGAAAAAACAAAGAGCATGTACATTATAAAATTCTTTTAAGATAATTTCTCTTTATCTCACATCGCATAAATATTAATATTGACCTACTGTATTAACAAAAATTAATTGTAAATTACTAAAACATGAAAGTAAATGTGCTGAAAGAGTTGCATACATAATTTAAAGTATCATACAAGGACATTTAACTGAAATAATATATTACCTTAATTATTACCCTATCAATTGAAATAATGTATTACCTTCTTACGATTTCAGTTCTGATTTGTGTAATTCTACAATTGTTACGAATATTTAACATCGATTACAGTTAGCAAGGGTCATATGGTTCTTCGACATGACTACTCTGTTACAACAACTTTCCTTCTTCCTCGCGATGGTGCTGCTGTTGATAAAACAAGCCGCCTACATAATAAACGATGCAAAAGTAAGCGTGCATGTTTCAGTCTATTTTTCATTACACGAAACGGAATTGCCTTTGCAGTTTAAAGCACTTTTGGATGGCATGTATAATGACTGGAAGAAGGATCGGACAAAAGAGGAAATCGCTATAATGATTTCGTATATGGACAGAGGAGCCTTTTACTCGTCGATTTATATAGGTGAGATTTGAAATGTGTAACGATCTGAATTATTCCGTAAATATGCAAAATTATCTGATTAAAAAATTGATGTTCTATCATGTTATGTCTAAAAGTGTCGTGCAGATATTATATTGCTAAACAAATAGGCAGTCAACTAGACAAATCAATTTTTAGAGAGTCTAACAAATTCTTATTACGAATTCTTCTTACGATAGACAATTATAGACGTACTTGAATAAATATTTTCTCGTGCATTGTTTTTAGCCTCTTGCACTATTTTGACGAGATTGACTCGTGACGCACTTATACTTCGGCCGTGATTAATTTTACTCGAATTTTTAGTACACTTCAATTTGGAGTTCAAATCCAATTATAACTTGCATAGTCAACGATTGTATAATAACATATTGACATAACATTTCAATTTTTTTGTCTGTTTTAATATTGTAGCTGTAATTAGTCAGTTCTGACTGACGCACCTGACAAATAAGTCATAGCGCAAGGGGTTAAAATACTCTGTACATTACGAAGTTGCAAAATATTATAGTGTAGATAATATTGTACTAACAAGATTATATTGTCAGTAAGAGTATTGTGAAAGAATATTCTTCAACAGCGTGTATAAATTTTCTGCGATCTTCACGACGATACACAATACATCACAATATAAAACTGCTTTCAAAAATTTGTATTAGATAATTTAGAAATTGACGATTTTTCTGCAAAATTTCATGGACATCCATTTTCTATGATATTGTGATTATTGTACTAATAATTAATTTTTTTAGCGAGCGCATACTTCGCCATGATGCTATTCCTCCAAATGCCATGGTGGCCACGCGTAGCCGACATTTTGATGCCGTTAAACGCGTCTCGACCTCGAGGATACATCTTTCCGGCTTATTATTACGTCGACGACGACAAATACTATTACTGGATCATAGCGTATTCGAGTATCGCAACTATCATAACGGTGTGCGGTTACATAGCTTGCGACATTTACTTCATATACGCGGTACAGCATGCTTGCGGATTGTTCACGGTGGCTGGGTAAAAAAATTGCTTGAGAAGAAAGTTCCTGATGATAATTTAACGAATTGTTAAATATAGATAGATTTGATTGTATGGAGATTTGGGAGTTTAGCAATGCGTGGATTTGCGAATTTGAGAAATTTAGCAGGGTGTGGATTTGCAAATTTGAGAATTTTAGCAGTATGGAGATTTGCACATTTGAGAATTTTAGCAATGTGTGGAATTGTAAATTTGAGAATTTTAGCAATGTGTGGAATTCCAAATTGAGAAATTTAGCAATGTGTGGATTTGCAAATGTGAGAATTTTAGCAATGTGTGGATTTGGAAATTTGAGAATTTTAGCAATGTGTGGATTTCCAAATGTGAGAATTATAGCAATGTGTGGATTTGCAAATGTGAGAATTTTAGCAATGTGTAGATTTCCAAATGTGAGAATTATAGCAATGTGTGGATTTGCAAATGTGAGAATTTTAGCAATGTGTAGATTTCCAAATGTGAGAATTATAGCAATGTGTGGATTTGCAAATGTGAGAATTTTAGCAATGTGTAGATTTCCAAATGTGAGAATTATAGCAATGTGTGGATTTGCAAATGTGAGAATTTTAGCAATGTGTAGATTTCCAAATGTGAGAATTATAGCAATGTGTGGATTTGCAAATGTGAGAATTTTAGCAATGTGTAGATTTCCAAATGTGAGAATTATAGCAATGTGTGGATTTGCAAATGTGAGAATTTTAGCAATGTGTAGATTTCCAAATGTGAGAATTATAGCAATGTGTGGATTTGCAAATGTGAGAATTTTAGCAATGTGTGGATTTCCAAATTGAGAAATTTAGCAATGTATGGATTTGCAAATATGAGAATGCAAATGTGAGAATTTTAGCAATGTGTAGATTTCCAAATGTGAGAAATTCAGCAATGTGTAGATTTCCAAATTTGAGAATTTTATCAATGTATACATTTCCAAATTTGAGAATTTTAGCAATGTATACATTTCCAAATTTGAGAATTTTATCAATGTATACATTTCCAAATTTGAGAGTATCAGCAATATATAGATTTGCAAATTTGAAAAATTAGAAATTAGCAACGAACTGCTATAAAATACTACGTAATATCTAAAATCACAAATATTTATAGACACCGTTTCAAGAAAGCGATCCACCAGATCTCCGATAAAAGGAAAATTACTCAGATGTCGAATGAGACCCACAGGAACGTTTGTCGCTCGATTATAGCGCACGATCGAGCAATAACGTTAGTATAAAGTGACCTACAAACTTTTCATAATATATCCAAACCAAATAGTACTTCTAATTCAATAATATTATACTAAGCGACTTACCTACAAAACGTATTTTTATTTTTCAGATATGCGAAAGCGATTGACGACTTTTATTATGGTATACTGTTTATCGTTGTCGGTATGACAATCGGAGCTTTCAGTAGCACGTTATTTTGGGTAAGTTCGTTAAACTTTATTTTAACGGATGACAGTAACTTGTCGGACGATAGTAGCCTTCTTTATATCTTTTCGAAGCAGCTGTCAAAAATGAAACCATGCGCTCAGTTCTATGAGTATATAGTTTTTTTAACCATTCAACTTCTGCATATATTTTTCCTGGCCATTCAAGGACAGTTTATGATTAACAGAACGGACATTGTCTACAACCAAATGTGAGTACTAAGTCGATGGAATCACCTACTCTTCAGCGAAATAATTACAAGTTTTAAACTATGTACCTACATTACGGATATTTCTGTATTTATATCGTATGAAGTTATGAAAATATTATGGCGCATCAGGGAACACTGTTCAATGCATATAAAATAAATTGTAACATATAGGGCAAGCTTCAAACCATTTACAGATAGAAAATATTTTAGATGAAACTACACAGTAGACTGCCTTTATATTGTCCAGATTTGTGTGGTCGATCGAGCAAACTCTTCGATACGAATTTTTTTTCTTTACATTCAAGTCCTGTCATAAATTCTCTGTTAAGCACAATGAGAGTAAAACTACCATATGGTGTATGTTCACCTGCTGTAACGTCAGGAGTTACGCCCCGCTTTAAGTGGCAATGTATTATATCGTGAGGCTCTCGAATAGCCAGATCTAACCGCCCGATTATTGTATCTATGTAATCGATAAATAATTCCAGCAGTTTTTCATTCATCCACGAATTAAAAACTGTCATTTACAGATACGAAGGACAGTGGTACAATAGCGTGCCCAAAACTCAAGAATTATTTATATTAGCACTAAGGACAGCTATGAATCCTCCACAAATAACAGCCGGAGGTGTTATTGCAATGAACTTGCAGACTTTCGCAGAGGTAAGTATCATTTGTATTTGGTGACTAATTAGAGTATAATTTGGATACATGTTGTAGGTTGTAAAGGTATCATTTTCCTACTATACGGTATTGCAAACCGTCTAACGAAGATACTAGAATCCATTATTACAAAAAGTGCAAGATTTATAAAATTAGTAGTGTTCCATAGAATGCACGATAAATAAATGGTTGTAATATGCATCTGATAACATGAAGTGTGAAGAATAGGACATACTTGTGTGATGATTTTTTACTACAAGGCTCGAAAATGTTTGAGCAATTACTTTGCAAGTAATAAAATATTTCACGCATATGAGTATTAGTGAAACCCTTTCTGTTATAGTATATCACATATTTTGCTATATGTGGTATTTGAATGATGTGAACAGCATTTTTAACTTGGATTTTAACAATCCACCAAGGTATAAAAGACTTGAGTGTGACAAATAGAATACAACAATCGCTACTATTTTTCAAAAATGCTTCCATCAGTTATCTGTAGTCAATGTTTCCGTTCCTCAAGTTTCAGCCTGTGTTGGAAGATGGCGGTGACAGTACTACTCTGTGGCGGTCATATCAAAAGATGTCACTTTGTGCACATATACTTCATTACGTTTTCAAATCTAATAGTGTATTTATCATAAACACGATCATAGAAAATTATTGACTTCAACGCGTAGGATGAGGGGCACAATTTTTGTTATTACACTAAAGTCATAATCCACCATTTAATTTAATGTAACTCATCACTTACCGCTAATGATTTATCAGTGTTCTAGTGGTACATCAATTCATTTAAACCATTCCCATAATTTTTGTATATCTTCACTGACCGCCGACATTGACTCTCTGAAGCAGCTTCGTTGTAGGAGTTCCATCTACCCACCATGTCCATTCTTTGCAGCATTCGTAATATTGGCGCAGCAGAGCCTACAAAGAGATTTATATTGTACATCAACATTGGCAGGACCGATGTAATAAATCGAAGCATGAAACTGAGACAATAAATCCTGAATATCGTTAATAATACACACATTAGTATACGCACAATGGCTTCACATCTTGTCATATATCGAGACCACCGTAAACTCATCCCGTTTCGAATAATAACTTCCACAGATCTGTTACTTCGTTTATCACTACATTGACACATCTTTAAAGCTAGCGTTCCACGTTTATCACCAACAGCAGTGGAAACGAATGAAACTAACAGTGCGGACACGAAGAATGAACATTCGCTAACTATAAGCGACATTGACGCATTCGTGTACGAGTCTCTACTGCGGCAGTTTTGCGTGTTCGGGAAGAAAATTGCACGCTTTACTATTCGCATACTTTGCGACATCGTACGATGGAACTACTTACATTTAATCGAAACGATTCACTGTATCAAAACAATGAAAACCATTTTTGTTCCAATTTGGAAGAACATAAAGGCGGTGCTTAGTTACATAGTGTTTCTTGAGTATCGTAATAGCGAAAGTAGCAAGATAAAATGTGTATCAATATTAAGGATCAATTTTGCGTCAATTATTTCCATATGTACCTATACCGAGGCCGTCTACCACGCAGTAATTTACTCATAATACATGATTAGCGCTGCACTAATGCATCCTATCAAAAATGCACCGCGTAGACGAATTATGGAATTGATCAAAGTTCGGGCTCTACAACAGTCCTCTCTGCGACAAGAACGTATATATCAGATCGAGAAGTCTAGATTGTTGCTATCTCATTATGGATACAGGTACAATGGAAGAACGCTATTTGAAGCTTACCAAAAATTTCTTGATAATCAGTGGAATTTGGCCCGATCAATATAAACCTGTGCAGTTCTTTTGTCGATTGACTACATACATTGCTACTGGATTGTCAGTTATAACGCAGGTACTCGCATGGTATAGTCTCGATTGTGATTTGGATGCCTGGATAGGTGTTCATATTGTATTGTGTAAAGTGAATCTAACTATTGCAATCGTGACAGTGATGGTTATATAAGGTGCTTCCAAAATGCCATAATTGTTTCAGTGGTATGAAAATTTGAAATTGCAGGTAACGAGAATGGTACGCTATTTTAGCTTCGAAGTTGTAGTAGAACAGCTTCCATTTTTCCTCGCTGCGATCTTGGTATTCGTGAAACATACCACTTACGTCATAAACAGCGCAAGAGTGAGTAAATACAAATATGACCTTTGTGACAAACATGTTTAATTTCACGTAATGACCTGTTTAGCTTAAGAAGCTGTTAACTGGAATGTGTGACGACTGGAAGATCGATAGATCGAAAGAGGAGGTTGCTATTATGACGTCTTACATGGATAGGGGAGCTCTTATCGCGAAGATTTATACAGGTAGGACAATATAATATAACTAAATCAATCATTGTGTAAAATAAATTACATAAAAATTACTGACTCAGTTTAAAATATGTAAACTTAAATGTTTTTACAGCGAATGCATGCAGCACCACAGCTCTGTTCATTCAAATACCATTCTGGCCACGCATTGCCGACATAGTGATGCCATTGAATACTTCCCGACCTCGAGCGTACATTATTCCAGCTTCTTTCCCCGTCGACGAAGACAAATACTACTACTGGATAATATTACAAATGGCTGTTGGAATTTTGAACGTAATGTTTGTGTACGTTGCATGCGACACGTGTTTCGTGTACGCTGTGCAGCATGCTTGCGGATTATTTGCAACGTGTGGGTAAGAATATAAGGACAACTGTAATTAGTAGGACGACTCTGTCAGATTTCAGTACAAAAAAGATAGCTACAAAGTACGATAATAAGATGATTTGAACTTAGCCAGTGTCAATTTAATACATATTCTGCGAATTAAATTTTGTGGAATTCATCTAAGATAGCCGTGACTAGATATTTCTTTACAGTTTGCATAGTGCGTAAAATTGTAATAAATATTGCAAATGTGTGTACAGATATCGTTTTAAAGAAGCGATCAGAGATGTGCCTGCAGGGAGTACCATTTCAGACCTGTCTACCGAAACGTACAAGAGAGTGTGTCGCTCTGCCGAGGCTCACAATCGTGCAATAACGTTGGTATATAATATGTTCTAACTACCGTAAAAATCTCGTGTTCAAAAATATCGACTAGAAGTACGAACGATTTCATCGATTTTCCATAAAATCGCAATCTATACCTACTGCTCTTTAAGTATAAATATAAGTGTAAATGTATATGTATGAAAGTATACACGCGACATGTTATACTTTCAGCATTTTATTTAAATATCGCACGAATTGTTTGCATACCGTGTTTACGTTCCTCAGATTTCTACAAGAAATCGAAGATATTCACTTCGGATACCTCTTGATCTGTTTGGGTATTATAACCGCAGCCTTCAGTGGTACACTGGCTTTAGTGAGTTCTTTAAATTCTATATAGTCCAATTATTATAACTTTCTCCAAATGCCACTTTCTCAGCTGTCGACAATGAAAATTGGCGGGAGGTTTTACCAGTGCATTGGATTCTTGGTCGCTCAATTGATACATCTGTTTTTCTTGACGATTCAAGGGCAGTTTGTGATCAACTCGAAGTGGAAGGCTTATAATGAAATGTGTGTACAAAATGAATGCAAGCAAAATAAAAATATAAAATAGAATTTTAATAACATGTTTTGTACCATTCATTAGGAACTGTGCCATTTACAGATACGACGGGCTATGGTACCATGCTGAACCTAAAACGCAAGTGCCGTATATGCTCGCGTTAAGGGCTACCCTAAGTGCTCCCGAAATAACAGCTGGACGACGTATTCCGATGAACCTGGAGACCTTTGCAAGCGTAATACATTAATTACTATTTTTTACAAATTATGGAATACTTAAATTATTTTTAGGAACTTCTAAGGATTAAATGCGTTTATGTTATTGATGTGCTTTACGTACCTATTTAATTATACAGTCGTCTTCAGCATATATGGTAATACGTATGATAAATTAAAAATAATTTAAATGTTCGTTTTCAGATCATAAAAGCATCCGTCTCATATTTCACCATGTTGAAGGCCACGTAACCCCCGGCTGAAAAGTGTTAGTATTAGTGCTGAAGAGTAGTAAGTCCAGTATTGAAAATCAAGATTTTTCAGTCTAGTATGTAGACTGCGGGTAGTAATTAAAATTAACGAAAGCAGATAACGGTATGACAACAATATATTTGGTTTTTATAAATTATTGGTGGACGATAAAAATCAGACTTTGATTTTATCAATAATGTTATAATAAACATTTAGAAAATATTTTCAAATATCTCTATTTCACAAAACATAGTGTCAGACTTAAATGTATGCTTGCATATATCAAGCGACACCTTAATATAGTAAACAATTAAAATTATTTATGTTCAGATATAATTTTGAAATATTTTTACCTGAACCATGCAAGCTTATTTACACCTCAGAATTTTAAATGTGGAGGTGTACGAATATCGTGACCACAACTGGAAAATGTTCCAATGTAATTATTTTGGATATGGATGTACACTTTAGGTTGTTACATTTCGACTTTTCGTATCTTTCACCTTTTAAACTTCTTGTCATCCGCCATGTAATGTTTACTGTCTTGACCATCTACAAAGCTATATAATGTTATACATAAAATTTGAAATAAATTAGTGGATCGCATTGAAGTAAAAGTAATCTTGAATATCGTTGATAATATAACAGTGTTGTCCACACATCTTCCACGACCACATATCACTAGATGCATTCCGCTTCTTGTAATAAATAAAATTGCTCCACAAAGTGCTACACATCTGCTATTTGAACAAAACTAGCACCAGTCTAACCAGCGTCAATCTAACACCAATGAAGATTGAAATTTCGAACACGAACATAAAGTGAGAATAAGCGATGTTGATGCATTCGCGTGCGCGCTGTCACTGCGAGTCTCCTATATCCAAGAAGAAAATTGCACGCTTGCAGTCCTCATACTTTACCGCATTACGCAATCGGACTACTTAAATTTAATCGAAACGATTCGCCGCATGAAAACAGCCGAAACCTTTCTATTCAAAAATTGCAAGCAATGTACGCAGTTACGCGACGTTTCTCGTGAACGGTAATAGCGAAAGAGGTAAACGGGGTATCGATATTAATGATCAATTTTGCGTCACTTAATGTAGTCAGAAGAAGGACCGTTAGCGACCCGGTAATTTTTCCGTAACGCGAGCTTGGTGCCGGACAGATGGTTCGCATGAAAAATGCATCACTTGGAAGGGTTATAGAATCGTTCCAAGCGTAGATTCAACTGCAGTCCTCTTCCTGACAAGAACGTATACATCCAGTTGAAAAGCCTCTTTAGATTGTTGCTGTCTCATTATGGATGCAGGTACAATAGAAGAAAGTTACATGAAGCTTACCAAAAAATTCTTGTTAATCAGTGGAATTTGGCCTAGCCAGAATAAATCCGTCCAGTACATTTGTCGATTTATTATATACGTTGCTATTGTAATATCAATTATAACACAGGTACACGCATGGTATAGTATCGATTCTTTTTTGGATGCATGCATTGGTGTTCATATCGTAGGTACTCTAAGTGTATCTGACAGTGGTTATTCTAATCGTGACAGTGAAAGTGTTATACAAGGTGTTTCCGAACTTTTACGACTGAAAAGAGGGTGAATCTACTCGAAAGACAACTTTCACATTTTCCATCGTGTCGTGTATAGTTTACAAATAATTAAAAACCGTCGAAATTCAGTTCTCTCCAAAACGTAGCTGCGAATGAACAAATTTTGTTACAAATTTTTGCCTCATTTTTTCGTGCAGATTCATCGTTTTTACAATTGTACCGATCGGAAACATTCTTTATTTTAGGTATAATTGTGTGAGTGCTACGAATACTTGAAATCGATTACAGATAATAAGAGTGGCACGCTATTTCTGCCTCGATGTTGTAGTAGAACAGCTTCCATTTTTACTTGCGTCTTGCTTGGTAATAGTGAAACAGGGCACTTATATCATAAACGACGCAAGAGTGAGTAAATACAAATGTGACACCCTCTGTGCCTCTAATTGCACGAAATAAACTGTCTGGTTGCAGCTGCATACGCTGTTGACTGGGATGTTTAACGACTGGAAAACCGATAAATCGAAGGAGGAGCTTGCTATTATGACTTCGTACATGAATAGGGGTGCACTTTTCGCGTCTATTTATTTAGGTGAGTGTACCTCGTATTGGATGGATAGAATCATTCAGAAATTGCATTTGAAAATTATATACATTCTCGAATCGTCATATTCTGAAACCCCTACAATCCCGAATTTCTATGCTCTCGAATTCCTACACCCCCGAATTCCCACACACCCGAATCCCTCATCCCTGAATCCCTACACTCCCGAAATTCTATGCTCCCGAATTTCTATGCTCTCAAATTTCTACACCCCCGAATTCCTACACTCCCCAATTCCTATACTCCCGAATTTCTACGCTCTTGAATTCCTACACCCCCCGATTCCCACGCGCCCGAATCCCTACACCCCCGAATTCTCACCCTCCCGAATTCCTACACCCCCGAATTCCCACCCTCCCAAATTCCCACGCTCCCGAATTTCTACGCCCCCGAATCCCTACACACCCGAATCCTTACACCCCTCCCCACCCTCCCGAATTCCCACGCTCCCGAATTTCTACATCCCCGAATCCCTACACCCTCAAATCCCTACATTTCCAAATCTCTGCACCCCCAAATCCTTCCCTTCCCAAATTTCCCTATCCCAAAATTCCCACACCCCTAAATCGCTACATCCCCAAATCACCATATTCCCAAATTCACACATCTCCACTTCGACACATCCCCAAAGTTGTACACCCTCAAATCGCCACCTCCATCAGCCACAACTCCAATTGGTCACAACAGAAGAATGGACGCCGCACACGTATTCTCGTGGGTTTCCTCCCCAATTCGTGAGTTGACACCTTGTTTCATCTAGTACCATATATTTTTAATTACACCGTGATGCACTACAAAGTAATTTATTCGATAAGAGATTTGTACTTTGACAATTTTGTTTGCAGCGAATGCATATGGCTCCACGGCGCTGTTCCTCCAAATACCATGGTTTCCGCGGATCCTGGACGTCATAATGCCATTGAACGCTTCCCGAGCTCGGGCGTACATTATTCCAGCTGCGTTCCCCTTCGAGGAGGACGATTACTATTACTTGATAATATTTCAGATGACCGTTGCAATTTTGGTTACGATGTTTGTATACATTGCGTGCGACACGTGTTTCATATACACTGTGCAGCATGCTTGCGCATTGTTTGCGATGTCTGGGTAAGAATATTGGAAAAGGAACACTTTCGATGATTATGTAACCTGTAATAGACTAGAATCTTTAACAGCTTGTATGGTTTAAGTGCGTAAAATTATAATAGAGATTGCAAATGTTTGTATGTAGATATCGTTTTAAGGAAGCGATCAGAGACGTTCCTGCAGGAAGCAACGTTTCAAACTTCTCGTACGAGACGCACAGGAAAGTGTGTCGCTCGGTTGAGGCTCATAATCGCGCATTGACGTAGGTACAATATGTATTTATTTTCGTTACTTTGCTGAGAAAGTGGATTAGTCTAGTATCCATATAGATTATCTCTAGGTTATTTTAATTTAGAGACTGTAGATGACTTCGATTACCTTCGATTTTACGCATTGTGCGTATTTATAATTGTATCCAAAATGATGTCTCCAGATTCTAGAATCTAGCACAGAATCTAGTAGTCACACTCAACTGATATCGATACTATTTTATTGAAAAATAAAAATCGCGTGTTTGAAAACACCGACTGGAAACGAGAATAATTTCATTGCTTTTATAGAAAATAATTTATACCCGAATGCTCTTGAAGTACCAATGCGATATATTATACTTTCTATATTTTATTTATGAACTGCGTGATTTGTCTGCAAATTCTGTTTAAAATTCCTAGATTTTTGAAAGAAATCGAGGAAATTCACTTCGGTTACCTTTTGATCTGTTTGGGTATTATAACCGGAGCATTCAGTGGTACGCTAGTTTTGGTAAGTTCGTTAAATTCAATACCGTCCGATCATAATAACTTTATTGATGTGTGACTTTTTCAGCTGTCGAGGTTGAGCATTTGCATGCAGTTCTATCAGTGCGCTGGATTCTTGGTTGTGCAATTGATTCATCTATTTTTCTTGACGATTCAAGGACAGTTTGTGATCGACTCGAACTGGAGGACCTACAACGAAATGTGGGTATAAAAATTTGTATAAAATAAAAATATAAAATATAATTACATGTTTTGGACTATTAATTGAGAACTGTGACATTTACAGATACGGCGGTTTCTGGTACAACGCAAAACCTAAAACACAGATCTTTTACTTGCTAGCGTTGAGGGCAACCATGAGTGCTCCTCAAATAACAGCCGGAGGTCGCATTCCGATGAACCTGGAAACCTTTGCAAGCGTAATGTTAACTATTTGCAACTTTTGAAGAGTTTTGTTTATGTCAAATTATCTATCCAGTAATGTGGATAATCATATAAGAGTGAAAGTAATAAGTTTGGTTAACTAAAAACAGGAAACTAATGCGTTCGGTAAACGCGTATAGTTGGTTAAAAAAATTCAACGAAAGTAAAAATTCTATTTGCACTTTTGCAAATATATTTTGCAACTTAGCACTAGTTCGATAACAACAGATATATATTTTCAGATTATAAAAGCATCGGTTTCATATTTCACGATGTTGAAATCAACGTAGTCGACTGATGAAGATGAAGGAAACGAAGCATACAAGGTGCACGGTAAACAATACTTTCTATATTTTATTTATGAACTGCGTGATTTGTCTGCAAATTCTGTTTAAAATTCCTAGATTTTTGAAAGAAATCGAGGAAATTCACTTCGGTTACCTTTTGATCTGTTTGGGTATTATAACCGGAGCATTCAGTGGTACGCTAGTTTTGGTAAGTTCGTTAAATTCAATACCGTCCGATCATAATAACTTTATTGATGTGTGACTTTTTCAGCTGTCGAGGTTGAGCATTTGCATGCAGTTCTATCAGTGCACCGGATTCTTGGTTGTTCAGTTGGTGCATCTGTTTTTCTTGACGATTCAAGGACAGTTTGTGATCGACTCGAACTGGAGGACCTACAACGAAATGTGGGTATAAAAATTTGTATAAAATAAAAATATAAAATATAATTACATGTTTTGGACTATTAATTGAGAACTGTGACATTTACAGATACGGCGGTTTCTGGTACAACGCAAAACCTAAAACACAGATCTTTTACTTGCTAGCGTTGAGGGCAACCATGAGTGCTCCTCAAATAACAGCCGGAGGTCGCATTCCGATGAACCTGGAAACCTTTGCAAGCGTAATGTTAACTATTTGCAACTTTTGAAGAGTTTTGTTTATGTCAAATTATCTATCCAGTAATGTGGATAATCATATAAGAGTGAAAGTAATAAGTTTGGTTAACTAAAAACAGGAAACTAATGCGTTCGGTAAACGCGTATAGTTGGTTAAAAAAATTCAACGAAAGTAAAAATTCTATTTGCACTTTTGCAAATATATTTTGCAACTTAGCACTAGTTCGATAACAACAGATATATATTTTCAGATTATAAAAGCATCGGTTTCATATTTCACGATGTTGAAATCAACGTAGTCGACTGATGAAGATGAAGGAAACGAAGCATACAAGGTGCACGGTAAACACGCAATCGACATACGCGTTACATACAAAATCTGTATAATTTTGTACAATAATTTTAACTCGTCCGAATTTGAATTATTGTAACGCGAATGTTAGAGCATGAAAACTGAAGATCAAAGAATAGCTATATATGTAGTGTTTAATTATCGGACGCGTAGATAGAAGTCATCGATTCACCGCAATGTATTCATTTCATCCCTTAAATGTTGCGAATCTGAGAAGTTTAGAATGTTATAATATAATGTCAGAAAATACACGTTATAAACTGTTTTATTCAAATTTTAGTAGCCAGTGTTGATTACATTCTTTTATTTATGTATCAAATATATTTCAGGTCTGTTAAGGTCCATATGTAGCATATTTGTTTTATGAGGCACATATTGTTGTGTGTACATTTTTTCAGATATTTTAGTGTACTATATTGTATATTTTTCTTACAATTTTATATGGTGTTATACATTTGTTGTTGTACATATGTGTACATATTATACATATGTTGTTCATATGTGTGCACATACATATGTTGTTGCATTTGCATTGTACATATGTGTACACATT